TAGTTAACCATCCCACTCTTGTTTTCGGCTCAAGTCATGCTCTTATGGGTCATGAGATGGAGCCCCGCGTCTGGCTCCCTGCTTGGCGGGGAGTCTACTTGAAGAGTCTCTCCTGCTGCCCCTCCTGCCACTTGATCGCTCACACTCTCTCTCACTCTCAAATAAATAAGTTTTTTAAAAAAATGATTTGAGCACTGGGTGTTATACTCAACTGATGAATTATTGAACTCTACATCTGAAAATAATGATGTGTACTATATGTTGATTAATTGAATTTAAATTATAAAAAAAAAAGATTTGGGAAATATTCCCAATCATTCTGTGGAAGAGTTTGTGTAAGATTATTTATTTCTTAAATGTTTTTAAATAAGCCCATCTTTGTAGGAGAATTTTTGATAAAGATTTAATTTGCTAATTTTATTTCACTGCAGCCCAGATAACATACTTTGTATGATTTCAGTCCTTTTAAATTTATTGAAACTCATTTTATGGTTTAATGTATGGTCTCTGCTGAAAAATTTGTCATGTATACTTGAGAAGAATGTATATTCTGCTATTGTCTAGAGTGTGTTCTGTAGATGTTAGATCTAGTTCATTTATAGTGTTGTTCAAGTCTTCCATTTCCTTGTTGATCCATTGTTGGAAGTGAAGTACTGAAATCTCCAACTAATTTATTGTATGAGTTTTTCATTCTCATATTGTGTGAGTCAGGATTCTCCAAGGAAACAGAAGCAAAAGAACGTGTGTATGTATGTGTGTGTATTTATATACATATACACATATATGGAGAGAGAGAAATTTTAAAGAGCTGGCTCATGCAATTCTGGAAGCTTGGTAAGTCCAAAATCTGATGAGGTAGGCTGGATACTCAGGGGAGAGTTGTAGTTCAAATCCAAAAGCAGTCTACTGGCAGAATTCCTTCTTCCTTGGGGGAGGTCAACCTTTGGTCCCTTAAGGCCTTCAACTGACTGGATGAGGCATGCCCACATTATGAAAGTCAGTCTCTTTTACTCAAAGTCCATTCATGTAAATGTTAATCTCATCCATAAAAACCTTATGGAAATGGCCAGAATAATGTCCAACCAAGTATCTAGGCACCATGGCTGAGCCAAGCTGACATATATAATTAACCATCACATGTACTTTTTCACACTCTGCCTCTAGCAATTTGTCAAAGTTAGTATTTAAGTATTCTTTAAGTGGTCTTCCCTTCAGACTTTATTATTCTCTATTACACTTATAATATAAACCAGGTTATAAAATTAGAAAAACCTCAGGGTGCCTCGGTGGCTCAGTTGGTTAAGTCTTGGACTCTTGGTTTCAGCTCAGGTCATGATCTCACAGTCGTGAGATAGAGCCCCGCATGGAGCTCCACACTCAGGACAGAGTCTGCTTCAGATTCTCTCTTCCTCTCCCTCCCACTCACTCACTCTCCCTCTCATAAAGAAAGAAAGAAAGAATTAGAAAAACCTCAATTCAAAGTTAGTCCTTCAGCTTCTTTTCCTTTTGTCTTTAAGCAAGCAAGTCTACCTAAATTTTCTCTATGTTATGAATTAAGAAATTAAAGCCATTAAGGCTAACTGATTGTCCAGGGTGATAATGCATATTAGAACTAATGATCAAATTCTATTTGAATTCTTATCTTGCACACAATTCACTATAAATAATGTATTGAATTTGATAGCAATAAAATACACCTTATGGGTATTTTAACTATATATGAGAATTTCATGTGTTTGAGAATGACAGGTATATATTTTATTTAAACACTATGTAATTAGTGAGATTGCTGCCTTTTAGTTCTGGATATGTTTTAGACTAACCACTTTTGTCCCTAAATTTTTCAGTTTGCAAGCATGAGTAGATACCTTTTATTTCTTTGTCCCAGGGGTAGTCTAAGTAAGATGTCAATCACATGCAAAAGGTATAGTGATCATTGATGAAAGGAATCTTTTTTAAAAAAAAAGATTTATTTATCTGCCAGAGAGAGAGAGAGAGAGGGAGAGTACAAGCAGGGGAAGTGGCAGGCAGAGGGAGAAGCAGGCTCCTTGCTAAGGAAGGAGCCTGATGTGGGACTCAATCCCAGGACCCTGAGATCATGACCTGAGCCGAAGGCAGATGCTTAACCATCTGAGCCACCCAGGCGCCCCGATAAAAGGAATCTTAAGAGAACATTTAACTTAGTGCCAGTTTCAGGGAAGGAAATCCCACAGCTTCTTTTAATAATGTTTATTAATGACTTTTGCTGAAAGAAAAATGTTTCTTCGTGGAAATCCTGAGAAAGTTTCTTCTGGACTATATTATTTCGGAACACCCTCATAAAAAAAACAAGTAGATATTAGCTGAAAAATAGATACAGCTGAAAGTTTGAGCCTAATTTTCATATAGGAGAGTAATCTAATGGTTTGGGATGGAGGTTTTGATTTCATTTGCATTGTAGGAGGCAGTATAATGTAAATCAAGTTAGATCTGAGTTTCAATTCCAGCTCTACCACTTAATAATGTATGACTTTGGCCAAGTTATTTAATTTTTTGGATTTCAGTACCTCCTATTTCATAAGGTTATTAAATGCTTAAATGATACCCATGTAAAGAGGACCTAACACAGTCCTAGATACCTTACAGGAACTCAGCAAATATTGGTGTCATCCATTTTTTCTGTATTTACATGTTGGCAAATGGGAATGTTGGTAAGGAATAAGAGGGGAATCATTTTTCCTTGCCCCAGGAATGTATTTCCTGGCACTAATGAGAATGATACATCTCTTTAAATGCTTGTTTTACTGATAGTTAATAGCTTATAATAACGTGTGATTTTTTTTTTTGTCTCTTTGCTTTTATATAATTTGACCTTTAAAAGAAAGACTATAACAGGACTCCTACAAGACTACAATATAGTCTTAACTTTGTGTTTCTTGGGGCAGAATTCCCTTTCATGAACTTCTTGATCTAGATGTGTATCAATGCTCTGCATGAACAGTTTCAGTAATTGTGGTCTTACTTCCTCTAAAGGCAGTCATTCTGATTTTAGAATGCTCCATTAATTAGAACATTCTTCCCTATTTTGTCCTTTACTCTGTATCCTAATAATTCTGCCCTTGCTCCTTTTTATTACCTGTAGAACTTCATAGAATAAACAACTTTGTTCCGCAGGTATACGGGAACCATATCTTGGTCATTTTTTTATCTCATAGGATAGTAAGTACCCAACTCAAAATAGGGATTTATTTAATAAGGTTCAGATTTTTTAAGGTACTTTTATATATTTTTTCATATGTAAACTTTAAAATTTAGTCAATGCTTTTTATTACTGTTGGTCAAAAATTAATTTTTTCAACTGTATTGACAAAAATTAAACAAGGAATATTGATTTATGCTTATGTGTGATATCACTTATATAATCCAGAAGTGAATAGCTTTTTCCAAGGAAAGAATTAAAAATTAGATATTATTTACATCTCTTTCTTTTTTTTTTTTTAAGATTTTATTTATTTATTTGAGAGAGAGAGAATGAGAGACAGAGAGCATGAGAGGGAGGAGGGTCAGAGGGAGAAACAGACTCCCTGCCGAGCAGGGAGCCCGATGCGGGACTCGATGCGGGACTCGATCCCGGGACTCCAGGATCATGACCTGAGCCAAAGGCAGTCGCTTAACCAACTGAGCCACCCAGGCGCCCCTTACATCTCTTTCATTCAGCGCTTCTTGTAGCATAATCTTTCTGAAGGTTGAAAAAATATTAGATTTTTTAAAATTTCTTACACTTTATTTTGTAGTGTCTTTTGCACTCATTACAGACAATTACATTTTCTGTAATGTTAATGCTCCTCTTCACTGACTCATCAGACTGGACAAAAATAACCAACATCCAGCTATATGATATTTAACAAGATCTAAAACCTAATAATAAGGAAAGATGGAAAATAGAAGGATAAATGCCATCCAAATACTAACTAAGAAAGCTATTGTAGTTATAGTAACAGTAAATCAAAAAAAGTTAAGGGAAAAAAAGCATTAATAGAAATAAATGGAGTTACTTCATAATTTAAAGGGTTCAGTTTCACCTAGAAGCTATAACAATTCTAAATATATATTCACATTTTCTGTGATTTTTAGACTTGCTCTATATTTTATTGCTTCCATTTTTTTAACTGAATGCTCTCTTCCCAATTTCATGCCATCAGCAAATTTTTTTAGAAACCTTTTTCTTCATAATCTTTGTTCAGCAGATTTCTCACATAAAGTAAATGACTCCCTTATTAATACTAATCCTTATAGCAATCTGTTTGTGCTTACTAGCTTCTTTTGTTATCTAGTTGTCTTTATGTCTTTTCCTGTCCCACTAAGGGACAAGGGTTTTGGCTAGTAGTTGTGAAAGATATTTGATACTAAATTATACAGAATTACCATACATAAGAACATAGTTGCAGTGGATGATATAGTTTGCAATCTATCTCTTTAGAATTCTATTTCTTATGTCCTGGAATGTGTCTTTTAGAAGTTAAGAACAGGCTGCCCATAAGAGGAGTAGCCATGTATTTTGATACCAACTACCTTGCCTTTCATTTTTGTTTCTTGTGGCTTATTGTTGCATTTTAGCTTATGAATAATAGGTACATGTTAGAATGCTTACATTTGCATAAGTTTCCCAGGTACTTATTCTTCAGAGTGCAGGAACAATCTTTTAGGAGTTCACATAACAATGTGTAAGGTATTACTATATATCTTACTACATATCATACAGTAACCATTCCTGTTCATTTATTGATGCAGGAAACATCTACCAGGTGTCTCGTCTTTGATAAGCCTTATTAGAAAAATATAATAAAACTATATTTTATTGAACAGAATAATGAATTCTCACCTACTCTTTTTTTCTTTCCTAAGAAATCCAAGCATTTAATTCATTTCTTATAATGGGGGAGAGGGAGGACATTTCCCAAAGAAACAGAGGCATCATTTTAATTATAAAATGAATTAATGGAAATCTTTAAATTTTTCAGGATGAGAGAGACCCAGAGAAAGAAGATGAACTGGAACTGAAAAGAGGTCTTTTATACAGAGACTCTGCCTATGACAGTGACCCAGAGTATAGGTATGAGCTAGATTAATGCAGCATGTTGAGATCTTTCTCACAGCTGGCATAAATGTAACCTGCTTTTTAATCTGCTGGATTTGTGGGAAATTTAGACTCAAATTAATAATTAGTTATTAATAGGTTTTATTTTTAACTATATAAAATCCTATTAAAATACTTCAATGATTGCATTACTGCAACTTTTCAATGAAAACAAATATAGTCAATTAATTACTTAAGATTTATAGTGTATTTGGCTGTCCTGCCAATCCACATATCCAGGGCTTATTTTCAGGCATATTTATTCTCATTCAAACAACAGTTTCCATAATTTTAGACCATGAGTAAGCTTTTTTTTAATAACATAAGAAAAACTGTTCTTCTAGCCTAACATTTCATAAATGTTAGTAATAACAAAATTTTTGCAAGATTATGCTAGCAAATGTCATGAAGATTTTTAAAAGGTCTATGTCAGTTGCCATAGAATGTGGTATTAAAAGTAATATAAATTGTGAGTTTATGTAACTTACGGTTCTCTGAATTCTTTGGTGCTTATTACTACATGGCTTCCACCTTCCTGGGTTTCCTGAAAAACAAGTATAAGAAAAAAGCTCCAGATAATGGAATATGTTTTATTGCTAACTTGAGTTTTAGACTGAATTTTCTGATCTTTACCTGATAAGTTAGGCTAGATATTCTATGAACATGTGAGGACTTCTTTTGTCCCTTACACAGAGTATAAATGTGAACTCCTTTCCCAAAGCTACTGCTTCCCAACCAACAGGCAACCTGGGCCTCTCATCAAGGGAAGTAGCATATTACAGGTGAGTTTGAAGAAGCAATCCAAACAGGAAAAAGGAGATCCAGGAAAGTCCACACCCTGAAGAAGAAGACTTTTTACCTTTATTATTATTATTTACTTAAAGCTCTATTCTCCAGATTGCTACTATATGGATTAACATCTCAATTTTGGTTCTTAATCCATATAATTGATTCTAATATGGGTAAGAATGGATAGGGTTGATAAAGGAAAGTGTCTGATTTTCAACTTTGTATGCATAATAATTACCTGGGTTGCATCTTAAAAATACAGAGTTCTTCTTCCTACCCCCTTAGATTCTAAATCTTTACCTAGAAGGTGAGACCTAGAAATCTGCATTTTAAGAAATATCATGGATGCTTCTAATGCAGCTAGTGTAAGGACCACATTTTGAAAAGCACTGGTCTGTATTTAAAGTTTGCTGTAAACCTCGTTCTTTTTCCAGTTCACCAAGCAATGTTAATTGCTTACCTGGGACTATTTTGGTACCCCTCAAGTAAGAGTTAAGCAGAGTATCAGAAAAGTTCTCCTTATACATTTTTTTTGAGATTTCTTTATATTCCTTGCCACTTCTCTTATATATACATTTAGACTGATAGGACCAAGTGGTCAGAACTTCAAGACCTTTTATAAGAGTATATTTGATATTAGCTCCAGAAGCTACTGAGATGATCAGGATGTTATTTTAGTTTTATCCCTAAGTCATATTAAATATTAGGACAAGGAGTCACTCTCGTTCTACTTTCCATCTCAAAGATGAGAGAACCTACACGCGAAGGCTTCCATCAGCAGAAATCAAAAGGGGGTTTGGGGTCTTGGCTTAATATCACCCCTCTCAGACACACATTGACACAGAGGTCCTGAGGAAGTCTGCATGGACCCCTGAATGGCTGAGTGAGGAGCTCAGCAAATCCTCTTCCACAAAGCAACAACTAGACAGAATTGTCAAAAACGCCAATTTTAAGACTCTAGAAATTGACCAAAGGCATATAACAAATCAAAAAGCATTTATCGAGGGGCGCCTGGGTGGCTCAGTTGGTTAAGCGACTGCCTTTGGCTCAGGTCATGATCCTGGAGTCCCTGGATCGAGTCCCGCATCGGGCTCCCTGCTCAGCAGAGAGTCTGCTTCTCCCTCTGACCCTCCCCCTCCCATGCTCTCTCTCTCATTCTCTCTCTCAAATAAAATAAAAATAAATAAAATCTTTAAAAAAAAAAAAAAAGAAGCATTTATCGAGAAAATCTACTGAGCCTCAATAAGGGCAGTGGGAATCTGGCATTTTGTCCAGAACTCCCAGTGCCCAGCTTCGTAGGGCAGTCATGCTGAGAGAGCGGCAGCTTGGCTGCCGGAAGAGACTGGCTATATGGAGCAGAGCATGGGAAATCCCATGTACATGGAGATTAGTAGAAACAATAATGATCCCACTGGCAACCAATAAGAGAAGGCTTGAGGTCTAACTACTTGTTGGGACAGATAACAAAGATCCAGGGTCCAGGTAGCCAAAGTTGGTCTTGATAAAGTTGTACTTACCCCTAGTAGTCTGGAACATTATGTGTATCTGTAAGGTTGTAAATATGTTCAGGAAAAACTGGAGAGGCCCTTAGGGAGCCACTCGTCCATGGCTGAATGTGAGGCCTTGTGAAGGCAGAAAGTAATATTCAGGACAGGCTTGCAAACTGGATAAACTTTGAATGTATATTCCAAGTCACACATAGATCCATTGGCAAAAGATGGAAGAAGCCTTTCTGACCAGTCATTTGCTGGTCACTAACCTATGCTGACCCAGGGGCAGCCCCTATGAGTCCGACTTAAAAGTAGAAACAATAATTTTTTTTAAAAAAAGAAAGGAACAGGAGACATCAGAAACTATACAGGGCAAGGGAAACAGACTTCAGGCATTAGTGCAGGCAGGACACTAAACAAATAATCAAAAACAAAACCCTGGTAAGGTCAAAATCAAGAGTTGTTGCAGTTTTTATCTAAAATATTGTTTTCAACAAAAACTTATGAGACATGCAAGAAATAGAAAAATCTAACCCATACGATTGAAGAATGAATTACTATAAACTGTCTTTGAGGAGGCCCAGATATTGGATTTAGCAGCTGTGTTCAAAGAACTAAAGGAAATCCTGTTTAAAGAATTAAAAGCATATATAATGGCAATGACTCATCAAATAGAGAATATTGATAAAGAGATAAAAATTATTGGGGTGCCTGGGTGGCTCAGTTGTTAAGCATCTGCCTTCAGCTCAGGTCATGATCCCAGGGTCCTGGGATCGAGCCCCTCCCTGCTCAGCAGGAAGCCTGCTTCTCCCTCTCCCACTCCCCCTGCTTGTGTTCCCTCTCTCGCTGTGTCTCTTTCTGTCAAATAAATAAATAAAATCTTTAAAAAAAAAAAAAGATAAAAATTATTTCTTTCATGCTTTGCATCAAAATTATGCCTAGGATTCAATACTTGATCTTACAATCTAGATGTGCACTGTGGTTATCATTCATGGAGTGTAGCAAAGAGTCCGTGCTTTCTGCAGGAAGAGCAGAATGGGAAATTGGAGTGCCTGTTACTGTACATGGCAGCCTATGCATGCTAGCTGGCCTAGGTCTTCTGTCCTCTGACTATAAGATTCATTTGGAAGAAATCTCTTATCAAGGAGTTGTTAAGTGACCTTTTACTTCAAGTGTTTTGGGATCTGGAGCTGGATTTTGGGAAGAATCTATTACCTATGCCAACCTCCCTCTCTCTTACATGTTGCCTATCTTTTAGGAAATTTTAGGCCTTTGCAGTGGTAGCCTTGCCAGTGCCCAGGGTCCTGGCGGGCTTTTTAGTACCTGCTCTGTATAGTTCAGATTTCTTCAGTTTTCAGGATGTTTAAATTTCTCCATATTGTTGTGTACTTCTGGCATAACTATCTTATTTGAACATTGATCCTAATTAAAGACCAGGCATGAGTGATGCTTCATATAGATGGGAGTTGGTCACAAAAAGAGAGAAGTAAGGATAAAAATAATTTTCAGTTCATCATTAAAATGTGAATTGACCTTTTATGACTATTGCCTAAAATTTTTAACCATATTCTTTTATGGAACTAGCTAATGATATAAACCGTTTTCTATTTACTATTACACTGAATATTTTTCAGGTTACTAACAGTAGAAATATGCTCAATGTACTGTTTTATTGTGAAATTATTTGGAACAGAACTGAGTAATTAAAATTGTGACTATATATTTTTGTTTGTTTTTATAGATTCCAGTATAGTTAACATACAGTGTTATCTTAGTTTCAGGTGTACGGTATAGTGATTCCGTGCTTCACCTGGTGCTCATCACAAGTGCACTCCTTCATCCCCATCACCTACTTCACCCATCCTCCCACCCCCTCCCCTCTGGTACCCAGCAGCTGAATATTTTTGAATAACACAGGCTTGACTGTAGTTTTCATCTCTTCCCTACTGATCACTATCTGATTAATCTGATGAATCTACTAAGATGTAATAAATAGCCAAAAGGCTGTCTTTAATATTAACAAGTGGAAGAAAAAACTCTAAATAATATACAGACTTAAAATCTCTTAAATAAGAATGAGCTTTCATTTTTAAGTGAGAAAAATGTTACTTGATTCTAATTTGAATTCATTGGATCTTGTGTTATTAACTCAAGTATCTTAAAATCCTTTTTCATTAAATACTTAAGATTTAATTTTTTTAAACAAATTTTGTCTAGAAGGTATGTTGATATTCAGAAATATTGGGGGTGCTGCATATTTATGTGATTTTTCAAAGTGTTGTAAAAATTGCAGCTGAGGGGTCTAGAAAAGTCTCTGATGATTAGGACAGGGCAGTGTTGTATTCATTTTTTTAAAACAAAAATATGACCTTGGTAATTAGACTTAATATTGACACCAGGGCATGTCCAGTGTTCCAACTTGTTGTCCGCTTAAAAAAATTCTACTAAGCAACCAGAATGGTTTTAGGACTACCAAGTCTTGCACACTAATTTAGTTTTCTAAATAGATCATGAGAAAATAATACATTAAATATAACTTTCAGTAAGAATTGTGATTTTATGACATTTTCATAAACAAGTAGGCGATTATGGTCTGAACTAGTGTTAGGTGAACTGCCGATTGGATGATGACATGGAAGACACTATTACAGCAATCCCAAGTGAGATTCGAGAGCCATAGTAACTAGTAGTTCAAAAATATTCTATGTGTTTTGTCAGTCAAAGTTTTGCTTGATAGGAACCTTTGTTGAGTATTATGGAAAGGAACTTATCTCTTGTATTATATAAGCATGTTTATATTGACTCTTAGATCACAATTTTGAAATATAAAATATGTATCATCTTTAAAGTCACTTTCAACTCTGGTTCTTTGAGTACAAATAGCAAGTGGCCAATTTTATAATTCTCATGGCCTTTCAGTTATTTCTTAGAATTAATATTTTGGGGGTAGTATATCCATCTTACCTTCTGACCTTCTTTTCAATGGGTATCACCTTAGAGATATTTTGTCTGAAGACTATGTATAGAGTAGTATATGCTTGGGCTTCATTTGACACTGATAATAGGAAACATCAGGGTTTCAAGTGAGTTCATTCTTTTCGAAGCAAAAAATTAGTAATGTCTTTTGTCTCCTAGTTCATGCTAAACTGCCTAAGACCTTTCTCTTTGCATATATACTAGGCCTTTTCAACACTTAGGATTTGAAGCTGTACAGTTCTTGGATATTATCCTGGTCTGTTCTTTTTTTCCTTTTTTTCTTAATAGCATTATCATGATTAAATACAGGGCTCCCTATTTAAGCAAGAGTAAGTTAATTAAAACAAAATGCACTGCATTAATAAAATATCATCCCCACTTTGAAAGTAACCATTTAATGGTATATAGCATTGATGCAGTATTTTTTTAGAGTTTAGTAGGAATTCACTAAAATGCTTTGAGTGTAGGAATGCTGGAGATACTCATGGTAAAATAGAGAAGTATAATTTTTAAAAGCCTATTACTATAATAAAACTTTTTAGTGTCACTTACACATTTTAAACTTATACTCAGTAATGAGAAATCAGAATTGACTCAATATGTTCACAGTTCATTAGAGAGTTAATGCTTTCATGTCTGGAAGTAAATATCATTTTTAGGATTATGATACTCTTTGTCTGCACCTATCTGTGAACCATATTAGGACCTGTTCTGTGTTCACATCTCTGTTTTGCAATTCAGACTTCCAGGCTGAACTAATTCCTAAATTCTCTCCAGAGAATTACAATATTGTTTACTAAATTGAAGAATTTTGCAATTTTAAATAGAAATAAACTCGCTGCCAAATTTTACAAGATCTAAAAGCATCAGGATGTGTATTTTGGCCGCTTTAGCTCTTCTTTACAGAACCTTATCAGGTTCATGTTTGCTTCCAAAAAGCTTTCTGAATTTTATTTATTCATTACAAGCCACTGAGGTGATACTTTAAGATAGCTTTGAGACATGAAAAAAAAATGTATTGTCTAATGGAAGCAAAGCAGTAGCAAATCTATGCCAGGTAATATTAAATATTGTAATTGATGATAGGGGTGGCAATTTGGTTTACACTCTCAGAAGAAATATGCACAAGTTTAAAGCTCTACTGCTGCTTTACCTCTCTGAGAGCAGGGTAGAGGTGTGTGTTAGAAATTCAGACTTCTCTTGAGTAGGTTTATCATGGAACTAGCCTGGCAACTAAACAAAATATAGAATTCAGAAAAGAACATTATTATCTGGCCATCAGCATGTAGTAAAGTTGATGGTTGTGGACAAGAAGATAAGGACAAATCTGTGTTTTGTGAAATTTTAATTAGTTCATGACTTGTTGCAAAACAAGTCAACAAATAAACAAAAAACAACCAACCAAGCAAAACACAACATGATGGGATTCCTAAAGTAGTATGAAGGGAACACAGGCAAATATGGGGACCTAGGCTGGTAGATACGGTTGCAGAGGCACAAAAGATGTAGAAATGTTTCTGTTAATATATTTGTGAGTATGTGATTTCCCTATCATTTGACTCAAACTGTCAAAAAAAAAAAAAGTTGTAAGTGACAACAGGAGTTAAGCTTGGTGAAAAAAAATCTATGAAATCAGAAATTGTATTCAGTGGCTAGACTATTTCTTCAGCAAAGCTAATGAAAGAAATGTGGTAACTATATCAAAGCAAGGGCACTGAGACTTGGCTAAGGCCTTTTGAACAATTTTAAATATTATACTGACATTATTAGAAATTGTCATATAAAACTATGTTCTGGTTAATTATCCCTCCTTAACTGAATGGACAAGATAGAAGTAATGATAATCATGTTTTAAGACACCTTTGTTATCCCAGAGACTACCATTTTCAAAATTTTCCAGTGTGAAAGAGGCAGCACCAAGTGTAAAGAAAGTTTGACAGGATCTAGTAAATATTACTAGAAAATATGAGGTAAAATTTCATCTTAGCAAAGCCATGAGGAAGTAGAGAGACCTCTTGTCATGGTTCACAAAAGTGAATTTTTAAAAACATATCACATATATTACTTGTAACGGGGATATATTTAAGGTTTGTGCGTCTAAGTAATAATAATAATGATAATAATATAATAAATGAATACCCATTTACTCACCATCCAACTTAATAGAACATTAGCCGTACCTCCAAAGCCACCTTATGCTCTGAACCAATTGCATCTCTTTCCATAGAGACAGCTGTTATTATAGCTTTTCTATTAATCCTTTTTTCTTTATAGTTAATACCACACGTGAATCTATCCTTCAGCAATAAGTTGTTAAATTTTCCTTGTTTTAGACTTTACATAAATGTAAGTATAACTGTGTATTGTTTGGAATTTGCTATTTTTTCCACTCTGTTGGTTTTTCAGTTTCATCCACATTGATGCATGTGGCTATAGATCATTAATTTTCCCTGTTGCATATTATATCATTGTATGCACATACCATTTTATGCATATCTGATCTAATGTAGATGGATATTTAGGTAGCTTCCAGTCCATGTCTGTACATGTCTCCTGGTACATATGTGTAAGAATTTTGCTGGGGTGGGGCGCCTGGGTGGCTCAGTTGGTTAAGCGACTGCCTTCGGCTCAGGTCATGATCCTGGAGTCCCTGGATCGAGTCCCGCATCAGGCTCCCTGCTCGGCAGGGAGTCTGCTTCTCCCTCTGACCCTCCTCCCTCTCATGCTGTCTGGCTCTCATTCTGTCTCAAATAAATAAATAAAATCTTTAAAAAAAAAAAAAAGGAATTTTGCTGGGGTACCCAGGAGTGGGATTACTGGCTTGAAATTGCATATTCAACCTTATTGGGTTATGCCAAACTCTTCCAAAGTGAGTGTAGAATTGTTCTCATGACTTTACATTCTCACGGACACCATGTCAAGCTCCAAGAATGATAACCCAGCCTACTCCATGCCTTTTTTGTGGTCTCTTTTATTGTGTTCAGGTGTTAGATTGACTTCAGGTCAAATAGCAAATTCTTATTACAGATATACAGCTCTAAGAGTTTCTGTTTCACAACTGACAATAGAGGTAACATCATTGGACTGATAAGTCAAGGAAGAAATTGTTTGTTTGAAGTGAGATTCCAAATGTATGAATAAAATATTTGTGGCATTTAATAACCAGAACATAGTTTTATATGACACAAACTTCGTAATCTCTAACATGCCTTGAGAGTCTTATCTATAACAAGTAATTAATTTCTTGAAGTAGGTCAGTTATTTATTTAAAAAATGAAATAAACTCAGTCCTTGAAAAAGTCAACATTTTGTTTCTAGCAAGTAATATATTAAGCCCAGAACTTAATATTTATGATAGTAAAATTGTAACTTTGGTATGTTTTTTAAAGTACTATCAAACCTTTAAAAGGAGTTGCCTTTTCTTCTCTATTCTCATTATAATTAGCCTAGTCCTGGTCTGTTTCATAGTTTCCTATCCATTCTCTCTTTTTTCTTCAAGACCCTCAAAATTGGATCCCTATCACTTCAAATACAGACTTTTTTGCCTTGTTTTCCATTTTCCAGAAGTGGTTCACATTCAGGCTAATTCTTAGCTACTCCTTCTTGAGGACAATAGCAGTGTGCCATAGCGGAAGGGGCCTCAAGGCCACAGACGTGGTATCTCTTTCTCTTCTGCCAGTCACTAGCTGAGTGGCGTAGGCAAGTCATTGACTTCACTGAGCCTCAGTTTCCACAGCTACCAACTTCAGAGCATCCTCAGATTTTTAGATAAATATCTAGTAGTTTAGTGCCTCGTGGTTAATAACTTCTGTGTGCAGAGTAAGCACTGTACCATATACTTTACACATATTGTCTTTGATTTTTAAAACAATAGTGCAGAAAATACAGTAAAGGAAGCTGAGACTCAGGATGATTAAATAAATTGCCCCAGGGTCCACAGCTTATAAAGGATTGAGCTGTTACTCAGTTCCGTGTCTGCCTGACTTGAGAGGCCCGGAGCTCTCATGACTGGCCTTCCCACAGCATCTGCGCCCTGCTTTTACCACATCACACACATCTCCCTTCTCTGAATTCTTCATAACTCTCTCTCTCAGACACAATTTTCATTTTACTGTTTTGTAATAGTTTCATACGAATAGGGTCACTCTCTGAAGGCACAGACCTTATTATCTTTTATTTCTCACAGCCCAGAGTATCACATACCCATAAGGTACTCAGTAATATTTGATTTATATAATACTACCTTTCATTGAGTTTCACCAGTTTTAATATTTTATATCCTTTTTTATAGCTCATTTCAGCGGCCACGTGGCACTCTCCATTTGGATGATGGTGAATACTGGTCCAACAGAGCAGCCTCTTATAAAGGAAAATCCCACCGACCCATCTTTGAGAACAGCATGGACAAGATATACAGGAACTTGTACAAAAAGGCCTGTAGTTCTGTTTCTCATACACAGGAAAGCTTCTGAGACCACCCATAATAAACTGTATGGGTGTCTGTGTCAACTTCTCAATGAAAACGTTTGATGTGATCAATATCTGTATTCTTTTTTTTTTTTAAGCAGGTGATTCTGAGTAGTAGTTAAATGTGAATAAGTTTATTGCTTCAAATGGTAAATTATCATAGGCAGTCCTTTTTTTTTTTAATCACAGAAGAGAGTGCTGTATTCCAAAAGTCAAAGCTCTGCACCACAATCACAACTTCCAGTCTGATTATGAGAAGGATGTTCTGCCACATATATCTCATATCTCCATCTACAAATCCAAGAATAGATTCTCTCTAGAAATGGTCTTCAGCCTTAATCACCTTGTGATTTTCTTTTCATCTGCTTGATTGGTTATCTTGTCTAAGATTAATATGAACTCCTTTTTCTTGGTAATGGGCAAAACAATAAATAGTTCAGAAATGAATTTCCTAAGTTTAAACCCTGTTTTGACTAGTATTTTCTACTTATTTATCCCCCCTAAAAAAGGTTACTTGTACTTCTTAGCTAATAAGAAATAGGTGTTTTTAAAGTTTATATAATCATTCACTTCCTCTTCTGTCAAAGAACTAAGTTACCTACAATACGGTTAGCTAGAAATAGCAGTGGCCATGTGTGACCCAAAATGTGAATAACTGATTTTTAAAAATAGAATTCTTTGCATGATCTTAAGGCCACATCTTTTGGTGCATCCAGAATCAGAACATAGCTTTCGTTAGTAAGCATGTAGAAAGTCGGAAAGAATAAAGGGATTATATTGTAATTTTAAATTCTTTAGAGTTTTCATAGGTGTACCGAATGGCCCAGGAAAGTAGTATCTTTTTTTATTTATTATTTTATGTTAGTCACCATACAGTACATCATTAGTTTTTGATGTAGTGTTCATGATTCATTGGAAAGTAGTATCTTTACTTAAAGGACACTTGGAACCATAAAGAGGAGTAAAATATTATACAGAATGCTTTGTACTGGAAAATCCGATAGTTGATAAAATTAGCTCCTCTCCACCCGCCTTATCCATACCTGAGAGGCCACTGAGTCTTTGAAGATATGAAGAAATCCGTCACCTCATATTTACCAGAGTAAGTGGAGGGAAAGCAAAGAATAGAAAATAAGCAAACTTGGCTTACAAGCTTGAAGAGTTGACTATGAGGTGCTATTCTCTCATTGACTGTACCTTTGGTTAATTCTACAGCTATGATTTAAAAAGAAAAAAAAATGAACTCCATTTAAGTTGAAAATAACATGTAAAATTGAGTGACTTGTTTTTGTATTGAGAGAAAATATATAACACTTGTTATCTAATAATAGGATTTTTAAACTCCATGTTAAGAGTGTTCTGGTATGACAATCAGTGATGTGTGGGAACGTGCATCAGAAAAAGGGGCCAGGAGGCCTAGGCTCTGCCGTTCTCCCGCTGAGTCTCTTTAACTCTCTGGGCCTGACTTTCCTCAGCTATCACATGGAGAGAATGAAGTGGATCAGCATTTCCCAAACCGTATTCTGTGGACTTCTATTTTAAGAGATGGCTGTAGGAAAGTAGATACAGGAGTTTCATTAGCCATATAAGTTGAGGAAAATCTATACACTAGATTCACACTCCCGAACTTAGAGACTCACAGGTAGGATGGCAGGAACGAAAGGCAGTGCTATTGATCCTGGAACAGCTGTTCCAAACGGGCTGTCCGGGCAAACTGGTGTGTATGGCTGATAAAGTCATAGTCAACACTAGCCTGGTGGAGGTACTAAGAAATCCTGACATACACCTGTTTCGCTCTAGCATCTGGTCTGGAGTCTGACACATAGTGCTCATTAAATATTTTTTGAATTAGCCCAGAATTTCCTAAAGTGAGTGTGTAGCAATATTTGTCATTACGGCCATTGTTCCCTTTCCGTCCCACCCCCTCAGCTCCCCACACTCCCTTTCAAATGTGCCATCCTTGGATACATGTAGACACCAGTCAGGGAAATAGGACACTATACAATCACTGAGTTACTCTTTGGCTGTAAGTTGTAGGATGATGTTTTGTACAATGAGCTTTTGAAGGTCAACATTGACTAATGCTTTTTTTTTAAACAAAAAATATTATCAGTGAAACTTAGTATGTTTTGTTTTTGTTTTACATGTGGAAACAAATGAAAAATTCTTCCATTTAAAAGGTCCTGCTTAGTGAAAAGAACAATTTTGAACTTCAAAGAAAATTTCACTGTCATAGAAAATCTCCTGAGTGAATAACTACATCAAAAGTTACCTATTACACCTATTTCTGCCATTGGCTATACAAAGACCACAAAAAATGGGTCTCAGAGGGGAACTTCAGAATATGATATTTGGAAAGACATTTTCCTGTGTATTACATTTGACTTCTCTCTGAAGGATCAGGTGCAAATTTCCAGATATGTAGTATATTAGCTAAGTGTCTATTTCCATTTCCTGGGGGAAGAAGTGGTCTTTGTTGCTATCCCTAAGTATTACTATAAAATCTTATGTTATGTTATTTTTAAGGAGTAAAACCTTTAAATACTAATAGTTGTCTTTTCTCATTGTAAGAAGCAGAAAGATGTAGTTATTACAATTCTTACAATGAAGCAGAAAGATGTAGCTATTTCCTTAGCCTTTTAAAAATATTTCTTACAATCTAGTAATAGTTATTAGACTTAATATGAAAGATAAATTGATCTTACTTCTTCCTTTTAAGGTATTTTGTCCTTTAAATAAAAAAAAAAAAACCTGGGAATTTCAGGAAGAAAGATGTCAATTCAACTAAGAAAAAAGATGTGTGATTGGACAGAGAGTGAGGTCTTCATGGTCCCACTATTAGCTATACAACCTTGTTCAAGTCATTTATCCTTCTTGGAGCTCAGTTTTCTTATCTATAAGGTGATGAAGGGGTTAATTTAGAAGGGTCTTTTAACGTTCCAACATTTCTATAATTGTATAATTGATTAAGATGGAAGATAAACAAGTTCTAGGAAGCAGAGTTGTATTGTAACTTCAAAGATTAAGCCCCTGATTAAAAATCTGGAGCAGATAGAGCATTCTCATTATTGTCTTCATTTTCCAGTAATAGCTTTATTGAGATAAAACTCATATACTGTAAAGTTTACCCTTTAAAAGTATACAGTTGCGTGGTTTTTAGTATATTCACAGAGTTGTGCAGCTATAACCACTAGCTAATTATAAAATATTTCATGACTCCAGAAAGAAATCCTGAACCCATCAGCAATCACTCCCCATTCCCTTCTGCCCTCACCTCCTGGCAACCAGCAATCTGCTTTCTGTCTCTGTGCCTGTTCTGGTGTTTCACATAAATGGGATCATATAGTACGTGATCTTTGGTGTCTGGCTTCTTTGACTTAGCATAATGTTTTCATAGTTCATCTGTGTTGTAATGCACATCAGTACTTTATTCCTTTGATGATTAAGTAATAGTCATAATGGGGATGTGCAACAGTCAGTTGATGAGCATTTTTATTATTTTCCCTTTTGTGATATTATGAAAAGAACTGGCATGAATATTTGTGTATGAGTTTTTGTGAGAACGTATCTTTTCATTTCTTTCAAGGGTAAACCTAGAGGTGGAAATGCTGAGTCATATGGAAACACTATGTTTGACATTTTGAGGAATAGCCAAACTGTTTTTCAAAGTGACCCCACCATTTTACAATTTTTTTGTTTTTTAAATTTTACCTTAGGATCTTAGGCTAGTTATACATTTAAGCATCATCCACCCATTCGTCACATGTTTATTGAGCACTGTATTAGATATAGAGAGTATAAATTTGTTAAATGTACCTTCCCACAAGTGTGAAGAGTCGATTGAAAAAAACAACAGTGTATTTCAACATTTACAGTGGTTTGGTAACTTCTTCAGTGGAAGACTACAGGAATGGGGATAAAGCATTGTAGCTTGGTGCAGAATTTGCAAAAGCATGAAAATGGGGAACAGCATGGATGTTCAGGAAACTCCCAAGTCCTTTCACTGGAGATGGTATGCAGGGATGCAAAAGCTTTGGGAGGATGTGTTGAGTGCAGTAAGAGAACTGCGAAGAGAATGACAGGTCTGGAGTAGCATTGGAAGAGGTGGACATTGAAAGATGGGAATGACTTTTGAGAAAAGGAAACCAAGATGGAATAAACAAATATTGATCAGGTTTTATGAAGGTAGAGGTGGGATAGAGGGAAATATCTAGTAATCAGTTAAAAATAAAGATCTAGAACTTTGGAGAAGTCAAAAGTAGAAAATGGATTTTTGAAATCAGATAAAAATAATGAAGTGAGAGAAAAACAAATGAAAGCTCTCTGCTGTTCTTGTCCTAATTTGTACATGACCATTATAGACGCCCTGACAGGAGTGAACCTCAAGCAATTGCACTTTTTGCTTATTGTTGAGGCCTTGGTGGTTAGCATGTTAGAGAGCCACGCTTTTAGAAATTAGGAATAATAATAGAATTATAGTCGCATTATAATTAGGAAAATAGCTAGAAATTCATGTACAAAATGAAGAGGTAAGAGAGGAAACCCAATTTTTTGTTATGAGTTATTATGAGTATATTATTTATCTCTGAGTGATACACTTAGTTTAATAATATAAAGTTTCTTAGACAACCAGAACTGGTAAATATTCATCCATTTATCAAATATTATTGAAGGTCTTCTCTGTTCCAGGCAATCTGCACAGCACTGACTAAACGTCCAGAGATAAACAAAAACACAGTTCCTGACCTGAGTTTGTGGGGGGGAGACTGACATTTACTTATTACAGTGAGAGAAGTACTGTAATAGATGATAGAAATGCTATAAAGATGAAAAGGAAGTCCTAATTAATTCTTAAAGGTGTCATATACCTCAGAAATTAGTAATTAATGATAACTGAAATTAGCTGGTATTCTATCTAGATGACCTGGATATCATAAGCCTTAGAAAATCACTAGGATTTTTAAAGTAGGAAGGAAATAACCCAACACAGAACAGATATGAGTGTATATGCTGCCACACCTACCTTGTCCTCTACAGGTTAATATTAGTTAAGTCCTTATTCTCTTTACCAAAAATAACTCTACTTTTGAGGGGAAAAAGGTGTGTGTGTGTGTGTGTGTGTGTGTGTGTATAAGATATTCAAGAAAGTACATTTTGCTGTATTTCTATAGATCACCTCTGCAAAAGTGTACTGAACATGAGTTAGTGAAATAAATCAGGTTCTTGAACCCAAGGAGCTCATTTTGACTATTGATGGAGGGTCAGACAAATAATGATAGTATAGTGTCCATGGGTTTCCTTATTTTTACTCTTTTCTAGCTCAGGAGTATTTCCTCATCTTTGTGTTTCCAGCACCACAATTTGAGCATATCTTTATTATAGCACTTAACAAACTCAATTATCAATGCCTTTCTTGTGTGTCTTTTTCTGCTGGTCTAGGGCCCTGTTTACTTCTGTATCTGTGGCACAGAGTAGATGTACAATGTTTGTTGAATGACTGCATGAAAGAAAAATACATGAAGGGTCACTAGAAACAATACAAAGCCTAACTATCTGGACATAAGAAATAAGAAGACCTGATAAGACTTGCGTTCAGCTAGTTTATCTATACCGGTAGCCAAAAGCAAAAACAAAGGAAAAGATAAAAGAGAAATCCTAGTTGTACCATGGTCCTCAAGAAGAAAGAAACGGCTCATCAGTTGAGAGAGTTAGTGTTTATGTAGTGCAATCTATTTTTTCAAAAAAGTACTCTCAAATTAAAAAAGAAATCATATGATGGCCTGTCTTCTTGTCTGTCTGTTACTCGACTCACCAACTGAGATGTACAGCGTTCAGGTGACGAGGGTCAGCTCCTACTGTGTTGCTGCAAGGGGTGATAAGTACAGGGGAGGCAGTGGACCAAGCAAGCAATTGCCTGCAATTGTTTCCAGCATCTTCTATTCCAGTGGAGTTTAATTAAATCCCTTCTATGAAATGCAAATTTCATGGTTCCCAAGAACAGCCTAAAATGTTCTTTCCCAATGTTATATGTTTTGTTATTCACAAAGCAGTACATTTTTGACTGAAGGATTGAAAAATTCTCCATCTTCTATCCTTCAGATGTAACTAAGCTACTCAATCTAGAAACTGTGGCGCTCATGATTAATTAAGAGTTAGCATATTAAGTAAGGTATTTATATGAATATTTAAGCAAAACTGTCTCAATGAAATAGTTTTTTTAAACTAATATCTTAAACCTTAGTGTGTTGCATTCAAGTTATGCTAATTGAAGTAAATGAACCTGTTGGAAGAGAATGCACTCTGCTCTAATTTGTATACTATATGAATGTTTGCAGAGTATTTGGGGGTGGGGTGGTGAGGGTAATTTTTTGGTTTTTTACTTCTCGTCCCCATCTAAGTGTCATCTTTAAAGTTCTTAAAACAAGGGAATTAAAGTAATACTTATTTAGGGCCACCATCTGTACTTGGTGATTTACATACATTATATTATTTGATCTTCCCAACAACCCTGTGAGCTAGGGTAGGTATAAGTAATCTCAGTTTTACAGACTAGATAACCAAGGATCAAACTGCTATGATTGGCTAGTGATAAACACAGCCAGTATGTGGTAAGGCTCAAATTTGAATCTAAACCCAATTCTGCCTCTCAACAAGTAAGTGGTTACAAAAACTCAGCTTATTACAGTTAATAACATTTTTAAATGGTGGGGCTAGTGTCTCTTCAGAAAACTGTTGTAGATTATGACCCCAATTTAATTAACACTGCAGTAAAACCTAGGGCAAATTTCCAACATCCAAACACTAATAGTGAATAAAGAGATAATTTCATGAGCTAAGGTAGAAGTTGGTAGAAGTGTGTGAAAGGATCATCACTGGAGATTTATTTTAACCCAAGATTTCATGGTAACCAGAGTTGATGTATGGGATAGTTCCAGGTAAAAAGACAATGTGCTTTCTGTGGAGCACTAGTTACCCTCTTTGAATGAGTAACTACATTCAAACATCACTAACATTTCTCTTTTTTAAAATAGCTTTATTGAGGTATAATTGATATACAAAGAACTGCACCTATTTAATATGTAGAGTTTGATAAGTTTGGACCTATGCAAACACCTGTGATATTATCAACACAGTCAAGGTGATAGACATGTTCAACACATTCCAGTTTCCTCGTGGCCCTTTCTGTATGTGTTAACTATAGACACCATGCCATACAGTAGTTCTTTAGGACTTAGTCATCTTAGAGAACTGAAACTTTGTTATTATTAACAAAGGTATTATCCAGATATCTGGTTTGCAAATATTTTCTCCCATTCCATAGGTTGCCTTTTTCATTCTGTTGTTTCCTTTACCATGCAGACAATTTTTAATTTGATATGGTTCCACTTGTCTATTTTTACTTTTGTTTCCTTTGCTTTTGGTGTGATATCCAAGAAATCATTGCCAAGACCAATGTCAAGAAGCTTTTTCCCTGTTTTCTATTAAGAGTTTTACAGTTTCAGGTCTTAGGTTTAAATCTTTGATCCACCTTTTTTGTGTGTGTATGGTGTAAGGTAGTAACTTCCTTCATTTCTGCATGTGGATATCCAGTTTTCCCAGCACTACTTATTGAAGAAACTGTCCTTTCCCCATTGTGTGTTCTTGGCACCCTTGTCAAAGATCAGTTGACTATATATGTGTTGCTTTATGTCTGGGTTCTCCATTCCATTGCTATAGGTCTGTCTTTATGTCAGTGTCATACTATTTTAATTACTGTAGCTTTGTAATTTAGTTTGAAATCAGGAAGTGTGATGCCTCCAGCTTCTTTGTTCTTTCTTAAGATCACTTCAGCTATTCTGGGCCTAAAGGTTCCATATGAATTTTATGATGATTATTCTATTTCTGTTTAAAAAATGCCATTAGGATTTTCATGGATATAGCAATAAATTTGTAGATCACTTTGGGTGGTATGGACATTTTAACAAGTCACATGGTAACCAAAAACATACACAAAAAAAAAAACATATAGAAGATACACAAAATAAAAAGAGAAAGGAATAAAGCATACCCCTACCAAAAATCAACAAAACACAAAGGAAGACAACAAGAGAGGAATAAAGGAATAAAAGAACTACAATACAGAAAACAACAAAATGGCAAAGTAAGTCCTTTCCTATCAACAATTACCTTAAACGTAAATGTATTAAACTCTTCAATCAAAAGACATAGAATGGCTGAGTGGACAATAAAACAAGACCCAACTATATGCTATCTACAACAGACCCTCTTTATATTTAAGGACACAGTCAGGCTAAAAGTGAAAGAATGGAAAAATGGTATTCCAAGGAAATACTAAATAAAATAGAGCATAGGTGGCTCTATTAATATCAGAAAAAAAAAAGTCTTTAAGTCAAAAACTGTCACAAGCATCACTGTATTTCTGTTGCAGAAGTTTAAAGATGTTTAGTGTATGATATAGTTCAGAAATAAGGTGAGAGAAAACCTTTAATGTTTTTGAACATATGTAATAGAATTGAGAGTAAGTATTCTATTGGAGACTTTTATCAATGAAACTCATTATGCACTGGAGTTTTTGTGTTTTTTAGTAAAATTAGTGATCTATGCAAACAAAGGAAGGATTTATATATATAGCTTTTCAGAAAGTTCTACTTCCAGGAGACAGACACCAACATTGCGTAGTAGAAAAAGCACTTCCTCCACAACTTTTCTGAACCTCATTTTTTCTACCTGTGAAATAATAAATATTGCCCTCCATTCCTCAGAGAAGTGTTAGAAATAAATAGGAAAGGGGCGCCTGGGTGGCTCAGTCGTTAAGCGTCTGCTTTCGGCTCAGGTCATGATTCCAGGTCCTGGGGTCGAGCCCTGCATCGGTCTCCTTGCTCGGCGGGAAGCCTCCTTCTCCCTCTCCCACTGCCCCTGCTTGTGTTCCCTCTCTTGCTGTGTCTCTCTCTGTCAAATAAATAAATAAAATCTTTTAAAAAAAAAATAGGAAAAACAAGTGTGGAGATTCTTTGACATATATGAAGCACTATCATAACTGCTTTTTGGAAATGATCTGGGAAAATGAATTTGCAATTTCAAAAATATTCCATCTAGCACAATAGCAATACTGTTGGTTTTAAAGTTGAACAGACCTCAGATTTCTTTCTCTGATTTTGTCACCTCTGGGTTACTTAACTTCTCTGAACTTGTATTCTCACTTGTAAAATGGAAGATATTTTCATAGAGTTATAACCATTTATTTTTTAAGTAATCTCCATGCCCAATGTGGAGCTCAAACTCACAACCCCAAGACTGAGTCACATGCTCTACTGACTGAGCCAGCCAGGTGCCCCTAGTTGTTGTTATAATTTAAAGAGTAAATGCCTATAGAGTACCTCATACAATGCATGGTGTTCAATAAAGAGTAACTATAATAACTAAAATTCCAAGCCAATATAAAGGTAGTATTTTGAAAAATCTTGATCTGATTGGAGAGCAAAAATTGAATATGAGCTATGTGAATAAATGCAAAAAATATTCAAAAATATTTTAAGACATGAAACCACATTACTCAGATTTTTGGTATAACTTTCAGATTTACTAGTTATTTAATTTATGTAGGTTGTACAGCATATGGAAAGAGCCATATATACCTGGGTTTGAATTCTGTACTGTGGTGCTATCTGGAGGTATTGAACCTTATTTTTATTATTAATAAAATGGGAATGATACCTATCTGGGATAGTTGTTATGAAGAATACATTAGGTAAATGAGGCAAATATTTTAGGTAAATGATGCAAAGTGACTAGCATTGTACTTGACGAGCAGTAGATTCTCAAAAATGATTTAGTTCCCTTTCCCTGTCATTAGTTTCATTGTTTTGTGCATAAATCCACCCAGGCATAGACAGCTGCCTAAGCGTAATTTTTCTATTTTTAAAAATCCTATTAACCTTGTATATAAGTGTGCATTTTGGTAAAGGTTTTATGTGGCTTTTACAAGTGAAACTAAACACATGACTTCAGTCTCTGACAATATTGTCCCTTTCAACTCTGTATGTAGGTTCTCTTACTTGTGAAGGTATTTTTGAAATAAAAATAAATTCAGTTTGAGTGTATGTCCTATAAAACCAGTTTTGATCCTTGGAGGTTTATTTTCTCCTTCATTTGTTTTAGAATTAGCACAGATATGTTTTATAAATTAACCACATATGTATTTTTTAACTTGGGGGATGTTAGAGGTAGAACTTAGAGTAAATTACCCTAATTCAACAGAAGTAGCCAGATGAACATCTCTATAGCTCTTAAGAATTTGTAATGAATGTGATTGAGCACTTACCTTTTTGAGAAGACACACTGTCTGATACCAGAGAGGTGTATGTATACACACACATATGCATGCACACATGCATACATATACATACACCCTTCTTAAGAAGACCAATCTCAGGTTTACCAGGTAATTCTTTAGAAATTTTAGATTTAAAATTTTTTAATTACAAAGGTTTCCTTTAGAGATCTCAACCTAAGAGATAAAGTAAAATTTTAAATATACTTAAATATTTTTGGAAATTGCTGGTAGTGAATATTTTAGCTGTTGATCTTACTGCATATGAATTACCCACTGCCCAGAAAAATAGTCTTGTGGCTAGATATACAGTCTCTGGAATCATACGGCTACATTGCAATTCCACCTCAATCACCTAATACTGTGTTACCTTAGAAAAGTTAACTGATTTCTTTACATCTTAGTTTTCTCATCTGTAAAATGAAGATAAAATTACCAATCTCATGGGGTCATTTTGAAGATTAAATTAGTTAACAAATATAAAGGGCTTAAGACATGCCTAGCACATGGTAAGGGCTCTGTAAATGATATTTACGATGATGATGATGATGATGTAGCTAACTATGGAACTCATCTGAAACATGTTTTCTGAAACATTACTTAGTAGAGCTTCCTTCTGCCTGTTTTTAATAATATGTTGTTGTTAAATAAAAAGTTATATTGAAAAGAATCTACCACTGGACATGAACATATTTAAAATACTTCACATTTTCCCATAGAAAAAATATGCCATTCTGATTCTTCTTTGTGGTCCAGCAGTTGTTCACATATGATATATTCCTACAACTGTGCTGCATAAAGAATGTGTTTTGGCATAGAAACTGCATAATTTGGAGAGGTTTTTGTTGATAATCTTAAACAAAAACAGTCAAACTCATTTCAGTTCCACTGGAAACCCAGGGGGCGGAAATGTTTTTGCCAAATGAGAAATAAAGATGCCAGCTTTTGAATTAGGAAGTATTTTCAAGTGTTTGTGTTGGGAAAATGGAAAAAATAAATTGACTTCAGTGAATTTTTATCTACCAAACAGTCAAAGCCTTGGAAAACTATTTCCACTAAACTTTTACGATAAATAATAGCTTGTATTTTATGTAGCCTGTTATCATTTTCACACATTTTTATGTATTATTGTATCTCCCCATAGCATGTTTATGAATTAGGTAGGGCTGGGATGATAATGCCCATTTTTGACAAATGAAAAGACTCAGGTTTGGGTTAAGCGTCTCTTGTAGTGCACAGTGGAAGTGAAAGAGGCTGAATTAGGATTTAAGCCCAGATATTAGTGTTCTCTCATAAATATCCTATAGCACTTTTCCCCACTATTGTTTGATTTTCCTTAGGTATTGGATTTAATATTAGACTTTAAGAGAGAGTTGATTCATTTGTACTTTTGGAGAAGGCTTGTTGTCCCTTATTCAGATTTGTTTACATGTTGGTGAATATCTGCAAAGATTTGCTTTTCCTGCTCCCTAATCTGCTCTTACCTGTTGGCCAATTCACCTGCTTATTAACACACGTCTGTTCCCTTGAACAGCAAGGGAAATTAAACTAGCCAACTTGTAACTTGATAGCAGTTCTACTAAAAAGTTCTGTGGGATTTAAAGATTTCAGTGATCTAGTTACCACAAATAATTAGAAATTATCATAATTTGGAAATAACTTTTCCTTAGGTATAGGATTCAGAAGTAGAATATCTGAGACATACCTAATATTCATCTCTGTAGTGGAATATGCATGACAATATGCATGACAATATAGTCAAAAGCTGGTGAAACTTTTTTTTTAATATTTTATTTATTTATTTGTCAGAGAGCACAAGCAGGGGGAGTAGCAGGCAGAGGGAGAAGCAGGCTTCCTGCTGAGCAGGGAGCCCGATTCAGGACTCGATCCCAGGACTCTGGGATCATGACCTGAGCCGAAGGCAGACACTTAACCTACTGAGCCACCCAGGCATCCCGCTGGTGAAACTTTTGGTTATGTTCCAGTTCAGTGGTTCCAAATCCTGACTGATCAGAATCACCTTAAAAATAGTTTCCTCATCTCAGTCTTTGGGGATCCAGATGCAGTAAATTTAACTGTATTTTTAAGAGTCTCTTTAGGTGATTGTGATACTTGCCCAGGTTGGAGGGTCTCGCACCTATTCACCTATTCCTCTGTAGTAAGAGTTGCATGCTCTACCAACTGAGCCAGCCAAGCACCCCCCTCCTCCTTTTAAAACGTTTTCATTTTGCTAACTTCTTCATCATCTGAATGGCTATGTTTGTTTGTTTGTTTGTTTTTAGGCACAAAATGTTTTGAGCTCCAAGAAACAAGGCTGGCTCTCGATTCCCATATGAATGATACACCTTTTGGGTTATCCATGGCTAACTTTTAAATACCGGGTTTTTTTCTCCCTTCATCTAAAGAGTTAGCAAGGTCATTCATTTATCTATGTATACATTAGCAAAAGCATTGGATACCTACTGTGAACTAGTTATTGTGGGTGGCATTGGACAAATATAAGTAAGATACATCTTGACCTCTTACAAACACATTATAAACACAGCATGTTCTAAAATGTGAAGTGTAGTGGAAATACACAATATAAATAGATGAAAGAGATGTTTGGGTAGGTGCTTTAGGAGCATGAAAGAGGAAGCAATTAATGAGTAAAGGAAGACATTGCAAAGGAATACCCTTTTATCTCAGTCATTTAATAGATGATTTTATCGGAAGAGGAGAGGCAGGGCATCAGAACTTGCAGGGGCATGAGAAAAGCACAGCATATTCGGGACCTGCAGGAAGTTTAGTATGGTGAGCGTATAAGGGTCCATGGTAAAATTGGGGCCCAAGATGAGGATGAGATGTATATGGAAATCACATCAAGGCCCTTCTTCCTATGCTTTACTAGAGATTGTGAATTGTGTCCTCATACCAGAAAAGATCGTTAGGTGCTTAAATAATGCCATTTCCTTCTCCTAGTATCATTAAGCAGATGTAGCTGACATCCCAAAGGCCATAAGTCAGACAAGAGTCAGGGTTTTGTAGTCTGTTTTTCTGGCTGTTTTCATCTTTCAGCTCATTTATTGCACTTGCACGGTAAACACTATAGATGACAAAAAAATAATAATTCTCAAACGTTCCCACTGACTTTTCAGTCTACTTTAGCAGATGGCATAAATACTTGTAAAGATCACAATAAGAGATATCACAAAGGAATGTATAATTGCTGAAGAGTCCATCAATAGTAAGAGTCCAAACGATGGAGGAACCGGTGCCCTTGCTCTGAAAAGGCTTCACGAGTACAGAGGAGGGATGTGAGTTCAGCCTGAAGGATGGGTCGGGTTGGAAGAGGTAGGAAAGGAGAAAAGTCTGTAAGTGGGAAAATTCTGAGCCGCAGCAGGATGGTGTGGAAATGAGGGTTAAATACTGTTGGGGGCAGCATTTGGTCACTTGCCTGGAGCTAGAGTTTGTGCAGGGAGAACATCAGTAAATAGTGGCAATAAATAAACGTGTCTTCTACATGAAACGAAGTCTTCAGAAAACCTAGTAAGAAAGGCTATTGCTGAATTTACTTTGGGTCCATCTTAAAGATCTCACATAAAACTCTCCAACTGAACTTTAAAAAATAAGCATTTTAGAATAGAAGAGCATTTTCTGGCATCAAGACACTTTCAAACACTAAAGTCATTGCCAGAGATTTTTCAGCTTCAACTCATGCTGTTTAAATGCATTAGAAAGAGATTTAGATAGCCTTTTGTTTAATTTAGGCTCTTTTTTTTTTCAAGGAAAAAAGAGAAAAGTCTAACCATTGACCCTGTGCACACACAGAGAGCATAATTGTCACATCTTCAATCTGTTCGATGCCTGCGTGCGGTTCATTGTTTGCCTATAGCCAGTGAACTTTAGGAATAATTCCTCCTTGCCTCGGACAAGAATAAAACTATCCCGGTAAGGGTCACCATTGCTCAGGCATCAGAGATTAATATAAAAACATTTTCTGATAAACTTAGAACATTTTCTAGGTAGATATTTCAGCTTTAACTGGACTTCTCAAACATTATTTCCTGATTTTAAAAAAGCAGTACTGCATAAAAATTAGATTTATAGAAGCATTTGCTCACATAAAAGTAAAAATTTGAGATAACTTGGTAATATTTTTGTATGTTCTATTGTGATATTCTATGCAATTTCTACAAAGTAGTTAGTTTTTTACAAATACTGTATCTTACTACTTCAATGTCAATACGTACACTTTAATTTTTCTAAAATGATGCATAATTGTATTTTTAATGGTTATCTAACATTGCATTGATACACTCCGAAGCAACTTAACCATTCCTTTATGGTTGGACACGTAGGTTGTTTCTCAGTAGTATGTGTCTGTTACACATTTAAACTGAGGAGAAACGTGTTTGCACCAAAGGCAGGTTATATGGTCTACTTAAGCAATGTGCGAGCAGAAAATAGATGACAGAAGGGTTGTTCTTCCTTCCTTGTTTGTTTGTACCAGAACACTCTATTATTTACATACATTTTAGCCTCTGTGCCATTTTCAGAAGCTTTATTTGTCTCACTTACTTTTTGGTTTGGGTAAGGCTTAAATAGAAAATCCATCTGTGAAGCATATTGTATATTCACATTGAAGGCTAAAAATCCATTTTTAATTAAAACTTTATTCAGCACTCATGGTTCACTTTGTCCTGTTTTTATTATGAAACACTTCAGTCTTCTTCCTCAAACACATATGTCTTGTACATTTCAAGATGTTCCTTGTTGCTCATGTGGAACTAGCTGCTTTATGTGTCAGCTCACTGCCATATGTTCCGGCTGTTCATTTTGCTTCCTTTCTGGCATTTGTGTAGGCAACATCTTGTATGTAATGCAAGTTCGTTTCATTCCCTTCGCTTTTATAAAACTTGTCAGAAGGTAAAATAGCAAACTGGAAACACTGAATGATTCTCTGGCTTGTTAGGTTATACATGAGTATAAAGGACATAGCCTTTCTTAAGTTCCTAATGTTTGTAAGATAGGAAGAGAAAATGTGTCCAGTTAGACCTGAAGTCTTGCCAGATGTGAATAATTACAATTAAGGTATGATTGATGCTACTTGGCAAAGACACACATTATAGAAATTGCAATTCTTTATATTGATTATTAAACCAAATGTGAAGACTGGAAAGGGAAGGAAGCATAAAAATCAGATTATCCTTTTTATCTTCAGCAACACACCATCATGCTCTCATCTGAAAGTCTCTTTGTAGGATTGTCCACACCATGTAAATGATTTTTAAGGTGGCGGGGGGGGAGGGTGGGAGAGGAGCAGGAGAGAGCGATGGAGAGAGAGAGAATCTTAAGCAGACTCCACGCCCAGCACAGAGCCCGACATGGGGCTCATTCTCATGACGTTGAGATCATGACTTGAGCCGAAATCACAACTGACTGAGCCACCCAGGCGCCCCTCCACGTAAATGATTTTTGAGATAAATTGTGTTGTACTTCGAGTTAGGTATATTGAGATGAACTAATTTAAAAAGTAGTGATGTTTAAGTTAAATCTGAATTAGAAAAGGCAGTGGTATCTGATGGTATTAGAAAGTTTGCCTTTAAAAGAAAATTTTGTCAGGATGGGCTTTACATTCTCTAAACCTCAGCTACTTGAACCCTCATGAGTTCTGAATATTTGAATTTCTCAAATAGTTCTGTTATACTTCCATCAAAATATTTGTTCTTTTAACTATTGACTGCAGTATCTAAACTTATCATATATTTCCTAACCTCCTTGAACTAGAAGATAGTATATTCTAATGCATTCATGATGATTCTGGCTCACCAGTATGAACAGCACGTATTGTATCGGCCCACACGGACACAGGGCTATTGAGGTGGAGGGGAGCCTTTGTGGCCCGCAGTGACTGCCTCCACGTGATTACGGCTCTTCGTTTTGTTTTATTTTTAGCATTGATGCTGCTTTGGTGTCTCTGTCCTGTCCTTGCTGACAATTGGCACATGTCATTATTTCAGAATTTCTTTTTCCTCTGCAAATTTTCTGTTTCTGACGTAGAGTAGGCTTGGAGACCCGGTCACCAACGTGAAATGATTGCGTAAAACAAGAACAAAAATGTCCTGTCAGCGACCTCTTAAGTATTGATGTTATGTCATCAGCTCTGACTAGTACGAGTTTTCATGTGCCTCTAGTTCCTTCTAGATGGATGAACTTGCTGTGTCCAAAGAGTTTAGCGGTCAGTGTAAATGTGAGTCTGTTTCTCCAAATTAGGAGATAAAATTACTTTGGCCTAACGTTCTAATTTGATATAAATTTTAACATGAGAGAAGCATAGGTACATTTAGACTACCCTGAGTCCTTTATATGATAACTTAGTATATCATACACCTTCACCTCCATTGATTAGAATGCATATCTTTAAATAATCATCTTGCACAACCTATAATGCAAGACTTAGCATTAGCCCAGGACGGACATTATGGCACATTTAATTTAAGCACATGGTGGTTTCCCTCTGAAATGGAAACCTTTCTTCAATCATAGCACAAATGAAAGAGCTAACATACAGGGTTTTTTATGTTCTGTGCTGCCATTTTGAAATGGGCTAATAAATTCTTTATTCCATCAGTAACAGTTGAACTTAACATTCTGAATTATGTCCTATAGATTTATATATTTGATCAGCGCTTTGCTGTCGCTGAACTAAGACATAGAGAAATATGCATCAAGCACACAGGAGCATTTCTTGAACTCTGTTGAGCACTTGTGTGCTGGGCCCAGTACTAGGTGCCGAGGAAAGAGGATACAGAGATCAATGAAGCTCCATCCCTGCTTTTGAGGAACTTCGAGTCCTAAGGAGAATGAGACAACAAGGTGGGTTAGACTTCAACGTGGAAAATGTGATAGTAAGTATAAACAAATCCAGTTGTGAACTCTGGAGACTGAAGGAAGAGGAAAATTAAAAAAGAGAGAGAGAGAGAGAGAGAGAGAGATGGGGGCTGGAGGGCAAGTAAAACGGCAGAAGAAAATGCTTCTTTCCTGTCTCCAGGACCAAGAGAAATCCCTGTCCCCAAACCCACTGTTAGGAATACCAGAGGTGCATTCATTAACATTTTGAATGCTGTTACCCTTCTATCATGGAAAAACAAAATATCTAGGTACAGAGTACTGTGAAGACAAAGGGAGAATCTGGTTAATTCTGCTACAAGAAGAAACGGTCCAGGGAAAATTCTGACATTTGAGCTGGGCCTTAAAGGATTCGTGGGTTTTGAGCAGGCAGAGAGAACAGCTA